ATCCTGCATGTTCCCCAGATCTAAACCCAACTGAGAACATTTGGGGATGGATGTCAAGGGAAGTTTAGAGAAATGGACATGCGTTCCAGACAGTGGATGCCCTTCGTGAAGCCATCTTCAACACTTGGAGCAACGTTCCCACTAGCCTCCTGGAAACACTGGCATCAAGCATGCCTAAACCATTGTTTGAAGTCATCAACAAGAATGGTGGAGCTCCTCATTACTGAGTCCTTTTTTTGACACTTTGGTTTCTGTTTTGGGGGGTTTTCGGGTTTTTTGAGCTATGGTCTTAAACTTTTGATCAGCTGAAAAAAATCATGTTTGAGTGTAAATGCAGTTTTCAGAAAATTCCCTGCTCAAAAGTTCTTGTCTCTTGCACTGATTTCTTCTTTTAACATTGTGAAGCTCTACTTAGAACATTCTTAAGATCCAATAGTGCAAAATGCAAATTCTTGCACTTTTTTGACTGGTCTTAAGATTTTGATCAGGAGTGTATATTGATATCTAAATTCAGTTCTCTGCTTTTCATCAACAGGTTTTGTTACAGTGGAAAATGATGTTTAATTAAACATAATTTTAGTCCTCACAATGTTCCTATATGGAATAACAGAGTTATTTTGAGTGGAAGAAAATCTATGTTTATGGAAGTTTGGTGGCACAAACAAATTTGGTCAATTTACACGTTTATTAGGTGACAACAGTAATGTCTTTAATTTGGAGGGATTTAATCGCAAGTATGGCATCGACTGTTTAAAGAAAAAATATGAAAAGCTAGTACAAAATATCCCTGAAGTGCTCATTCAATCAGTTAAAAATAACTTGTCAAATATCACAACTCCAAGATTACACAAAATTAAAATTGACTATGTGGATACGGCAGATAAAAAATGTAATAAGTTTTCAAGTCAATATTTAATAAACACTAATTACCCAGGAAAAACAAAAAATACACTCATCTTATTGAACTTTGACATATCTATCATTTCAAAAATTGGAACAAAATACTTAAAATTTCCAATTCCTCCTAAAGATAAAGAAGTACATTTTAAAACGTTGAATATTCATCCCTCAAACAAATTTATAAAAGATAGATTTAAATTTGACGTAGAAAATTGTGGGTTCTGTAAAACGAATAAAGAAACGACCAAACATTTGGTTTTTTTGAGTGTGTTGAAGTTCAACAGTTATGGAGACTATTACACAATTTTCTTTCTTCCAAATCCACAGACATATATTTCTTCTCTTTTCAGAATATTCAGTTTGGTCTGTTTCTAGATAATGATAATGTGGAATTTCTTGTTAATAATGTGATCATTGTAGCAAAAATGTTAAATACATAAATGTCGATTTGCAAAATGCTCTCCCTCATTCTGTGCTCTAATGCAGTGTTTCCCAAAGTTGGGGTCGGGACCCAAAGTGGGGTGGGGTCCTGAAAAGATTTTCTGAATTAATTACATTTTTGCCTTATTTGTTACAAAGGAGTGAGG